CAAAACGTCTGGGAATGTACCAAGTTCATGGTCCGACTGGAAATAATCATGCATACTATGGACTCCGGACGAGGTGCGTTCCTCCAGGTCTTACTGCCAATATGGCCAAATAGCAAAAGCAAGTTCAAACAACTATACAACGATTGGAGACCGCAACCATACAAAGGGCCACACCGTCTTAGTCTTCAAACCTTCGATTCTATTTTAAAAGCCCTGGAGCAATGGTCCATCTAGATTGCTTTACTTTTGTATGTTTTAATAGTCGTACCACGATGAAATTAATAGGCTTAAGAAAATTACTTTCGCTCCTTTTCCGTGATTTTTAGTTTTATGAAGGGGGGTACTGAGTCGTCTGCCATACTCGTTACCATTTATTCCAGCATCGGACCGCTGATTAGGCACATCCCCGCCTCCAGCACTGCTACAGCTTGTCAAAGGGGCAACTTGATTGTAGAAATATCTAATCCCTTATCAGGCTGTTAACTAGATTGAATTGAATTTACTTTATTTACATCTTATTTCTCTTCCCAACTTATGTTTTCATAAATATCCAGGTAACAGTGCTTTCGCGATACCAATTGCCTTCGAGTACAATATGGTCGGAGATTTTTGTCGGCGAGGAGCCGAACTGGAGTGATCTACCACAAGGTGATAGTCTTGGCCTTTTAACATGTTTTTATAATTTTATTTTCTGCTACGGGGTCTGAGAATGGTGGGGCCTTAGATTTTAAATCATATTCTCTATCATATATCTTCCTCTCACTCCTAAACTTATCAGTCTTTTTATCTCTACGAGTTAATTAAAAACAGCTAGAATACTTAGGCTTTTCATTAAATAAGATAAACAGGATAGCCAACTCTTTTGAAATCTTACAAAATCTATATTAAGATGTATAATTAAAGTTAGGATTATATAAATTAATGAAGAGATTTTGAAATGGAATTACTTGAGGCTTTTGAGGCTAAAAAGATTATTTATTCCTCTCATGAAGCGAAATCGCTTTTCCATAATGACAAACTACATACTACAATTGTTGAAGTACCTTTTATTTCGCTCGAAGATGTGGGTAGAATGGATTTGTAAGTTGGCCTGACCGGAAGCTGCACGGAGATTGTCTTGGAGCTGTGGCTAGATTTGTGCGAATAGATCCTCGACGCACCATCTTGCGACCCTGATGAAACTTTGCTGAGCTTTCGTCCATCATGTGACAAACATGATACCATAGTTAAGCCTAATGCTTGTTCGTGCATTTTACCATTTATGGTAAAATATATACAATTCATCGCTAGATTGGTCAGTATCATTATTGACACTACTTAACTTCGTGCTTCCTAAAATCTCTGGGCGTTTGTCTGGTGTGGATTTCAGGGCCCTTTGACATCGCCTTCAGGTATGTCAGTGTACATAGACTCAACATCAAAACATATAAGCAAATTCTCACTTTCTATCTTCTGTTTGTCGACTGAGTTAACGAATTCTTAATTGAATTCCACGAAGTCTCGGAGATTTGCTTTAACTAGTCATACACAAATCGTGATGTTTTATACAGCACACTGCGCTTATTCACAATAATTCTAAGTGTATGTGCATAGGAAGTCCAGAAACGCAGGTTTCCTTTTGAATTTCCTTTCCTATCACATTTAGGGGGTTAAAGTAGGAGTTATGAAATCCAATATTACGGTTCCTGTGTCTGGCAGATGTTAATCGTCGGGACCAGGAGTTGAGAAAACTAAGGAGAATTCTTGCTAAGGACAATTAACAACGAGGACTGATTGCTACTTATTTTTGGAATATCGTCAAATAGGATAAAAGGAAATATATATTTGGGGCTAAATAAAAGGCTATACCACTCTACCAGAGTCCTTATTATACCTTCGTGTAATTTCTCAAATATGATTGGCGAATTACTGGGGTGGGACATCATGACTATTTATAAAAAGAAAACAACACTTCCTTCGGCAATGCCTTCTTTTCGAGAATATTCTGAATCTTTCTCCAAATCGGGCTGCTACAAAATTGTGTGTTAATGTGATAGCGCCTATGTTGGAGAGACCTGTAGGCCTATACATAAGAGGTTATTTGAACACAAAACAGCCTGCAAGGGTCTTTGGGTCCAAAAATCAGAATTGTCCACACACTTGGCTCGCACAGGACATCAGATAGATTGGTCTAATGCCAAGCGTCTAGTCGGATATGGGGAGTATATCAATAAGCGAAAGCCTAAGAAGGTTATAGAACATTTTTTAAAAACCGCCAACACCATGGATAGAAGGAATGAATATGTGAAGCTACTTGTGGCTGTTGGATGATAGTATTAGAGAGAAGGCATCGAGAAGTAGCGCCGAGCAAAAGACGGACGCTTGATCCACCTCGAATCAATTTTGACTCATATTTCACACAATTCAAAAGCATGTCATATGCCATCCTCAGCCACTTTTCGACAAACATTTAGAATAAGCATATGATATCCAACCGAATTATGAGATATTTTTCTGAATTATCTTTGAGCATGGTGACTGCTTTGACGATGCTCGTCACAGGATGGATGAAAGCTCAGCATAGATTCAACAGGTTCGCAAGGTGGTGCGCTAACGACCTATTCGCACAAATCTAGCCAGCTTTAAGGCGACCTTCCTACATCTTTTGATGAGGCCAACTAACGAATCCTTCCCACTTGTCTCTTAAAATGAACTGAAAGGTACTCCAACAACAATCTGTTAAGGGATTCTTCGAAGCCCAGCTTTTCCAAAAAATTACTCGTCGACACCTTTAATATGAGCACACTTCAAATCCCACTTCGGATCTTACTTTGCTACGCGAATTCCACTTTATCTGCTCATAATTAAGCGATTCTAATGTGACTGGATTCCCAAATGCGTCAATTTTTGTTTTTCTATTCTGATCTTTTTCAGTCACCTTGACAGCTTCTTTATTACATTTTCCAATCCGTTCCTCTAGCTCGGAGTAGATTTGTTCTATCGGATACTATGCGTACAGGCTCCTGCCATCAGCCGAGTGGTACCTCTGGTGGATCTATCAATTGCCTCCAAGGAGGAGTTCCAAATAATGCTGCCTCTGTTAAACTATCTAGCCAACTAGAATCGCAGCACCATCACCTTTTGGGAAAATCAGGTATGCTTTTCACATCTCCCTTTCACTCACTCCTAAACTTATCAGGGCCAGCATCCGTCAAGCACTCGAGTCATCGTCAATTGCAACTCCAGCAGGCCCAAATTAGTCATCATCATCCTCAGGCTGGCTCGCAAGTC